CAGGTGTCCATTCATGTTCAGCGTTCAGGCTTTCAGCTTCGGCAAGATTCGTGGGGCCATGTGCCGACACATGTCAAGTCCATCAACGTTTCCCATCCCGAGGAACTGCTCTGCCAGCCGCTCTTCAGGAAGCAAGAGAACACAAAGACCCTGAAGCCCGAACTCACAGAAAACAACTCCGCAAGCCAAGCTCACGACCCACAGTGAGCGCCACTGAGATTGAGCCTGGATTAAGATCTGTGTTTAAATGTGTTTAAGCGGAGAGGCCGACTTGAAGGCCGTTTGAGTTGAAGAGCGTAGCTAACTTTAAAGGTCAGAGGCTGCAGACTCCAAACCCTCAAAGTCTTTCAATTTAGAAGATGCCACTGACTGAATGGAGTGAAACACTGAGTCTTAATCACCCTGAGCCCTGAATCCTGAACCTTGAGGACGCCAACCCCTTCATTGCCTTCCCTTTCGGCGTGCTAGCCTCCACCGGCAGCGATCGCGCACCTCGCGCAAGCTGGGGCACCTAGGGATGTGCGGAGGCGTTGGGACAAGCCAGGCCAATGAAACTTCGGGGGACTCACAAAACAAGGACGAGGTGCCCGAAACGGGCCACGTCGGCAGCCCATAGGAACCCGAGAAACCCCTTTCAAGGAACTCCTGAAAGACCGCTGCCACGACGCCCCGCCGCAAGCGCACGCGCAGTTGTAAGTAAGCATCGACAGGCATGCATTCTCACGCAGGGGTACAGCGTCACGGCACGCGCACCGTCAGCCTGCGGACCCCGGTTGGAAAAGGAAACTACCCAACCTCCTCGCTTAAACAATCTCTTAACTTTGAAAAGCTCTCAGCTCAAATCCCACCACACCCCAAATTAAGAAAGTTAAGGGCTGGATGTCCAAATCCCTCCGTGCGCGTGATTGAGAAATTGAAGGGCTCTGGGTTTGTTTAATTTAAGAAATTGAGGCGTTGGATTCCATATTAACCGACGCCACCCTCATTTAAACAAAACACAATGTGCTATGCCTGCTATGCCTATGCAGCACCTCAGGCCCTCGGTGCCCCGGCCAGGGTGGACAGGTGGCTCAGCGCCGTAGCGGAAGCTGGAGTGGAGTTTTGCGAGGCGAAGGCCTCAACGGTTTGGGCCTCTTAAAAAGGTGGAGTCTAGAGATCTGGGGTTTGAGCTTCGGAGACAGTGCGGCGGAAGTAGGAGAGTGACTGAGTAGCTTACAGCCCTAAGCCTGAAGTCGGGCGCTTCCTGTAGTGGGATCAGGGCCTGTTGGAAGGTGTCCAGACGTGTCCAGTCTAGATTTGTTAGGACCTGGCCGCTTAGCCGCCTGCCACATCGAAAGCCACACATCCACGTATGAATTCAGCAAATCGGAAGACCCTGAAGTCGTCCGAAATCTCTAGATCTTAAACCCCGAAGACCACCCAAGATCTGGAACAGTCTTCAGTGCCGGAGAGCTGCGGTGGGAGAAGAGCCCAACAAGAACATGCACCGTTTCCGGTGGTCTTATGCAAGGTATGATTCAGGGCCTGTTTACGGGGTGAGCTTTCCATGTGACGATAGAGAGGCGTTTCGCTTAATCTGTGATCAGGCAGGCCTCGATCTGTCCCTTTTCAAACCATGATCACTTATAACCCCCTAAATCCTGATTACTAACAGTTACTAACAGGCCAGAGGCACTCACGGGGGAGGTGACCTCCACACATAAGCCCCCGCCAGTCCCTGCAAAAAGGGACCTTGAGAGTGCGTAGAAGTTCCGGAAACTGCTGTAGGGAAAGCAGCCGGGACAGCTCCTGCTTGGGGCGTGGACTTTGGGATTGAGGGGGTTTCAAGTGCTTGTGTTCCCTGCCCGTCGAGTTTTTATTCTGAAACTATACTCATGATACGCTTAGGGCCCGAACCGCTGCCTTCGCCAGACCCGAACACTACCCAGTAGCTTCCTTTGAGGCAATGGAAAGCTCGTGTCGAGGTTCTTTTCAGGCTTATCGATGTGGTTATCTCGTTTTCGTTTCGCACATCTTGCTTCGGGATTTAGAGCAGCAAGCCAGCAAAATCCAGAGTTTGATGGGACTTGCCTCGAGGGAGCTGTGTCATCGCTTGAGCGGGCGGGGGTTAGTTCAAGTCGAGAAAACGAATTGGCTCCCTCCCTCTTCCTCCTCTTCTTCCTCTTCTTCTTCTTCTTCTTCCTCTTCCTCTTCCTCTTCCTCTTCCTCTTCCTCTTCTTCTTCTTCTTCTGCTTCTTCTGCTTCTGCTTCTGCTTCTTCTTCTTCTTCTTCTTTTTCTTCTTCTTCTTTTTCTTCTCATGCCGGGCTCTCGAAACTCCTGAGACCTCACTTTGGAGTCAAAAAACCTTTGGAAAGCCAAAACCTGGGATATATGAGGTTCCTGCCGCCTGAAGCCTTCAACTCCGAATAGTTGTGGGTGCTCAGTACAATAACATCCTACTGAGCTGCAAGCCCCAAGCCGAAGTTAACATCGCCCAAGCACAAAGTCATGCACACCAAAACCTGAAGCTGAACAAAGCACCGGAAGCCCTTGCCGAAAGCCAATTCAGCAGAATCTGCCTGGTCGTCGCTCAACCAGAAATTGAGGCACTCGATGCTGGCGCTGCAAGCGCCCACACCTTTCCCAGGTTTTCTGGTGTATGGTTCAGGTTTGGAGGCATGGGTTAGCTCGAGAAGGCTTTCCTCGTTTGCTTCTCATCCGCTCCCTGCTTTGGTTTTACAGACGAAGGCAGCAACGGCTCTGGACATGATGTGTTTGGCCTCTCCGCCCACAACCCGAAAATGGTTTGTCAACCCGATACTCGAGGCGTGTGCACTATCGCCCTGGCGCCCCCCAACACCGACTTGCCAGCAGACGGCTGAAGGCCTGCTGGAAACTCTGAGATGCGCCGGAGCCTGGTGGCGAGGTTGCTTTGGAAGCCGTGAGACGGTGAACAATCACGTACGGACTGGGCTCCTAAAAGTATCTGAATGAGACCGTTGAGGAGCAGCTTCAAAGTCCTCGGAGGCTGGGCTGAGGATCTCAGGCTGCTCTGAATAAGGGGCCATGAAAGGCCTTGGTCTTGAGTCCAGGACTTCAGACACAGACATAGACCGTGACTGAGTCATCCTCACAAGCACCTCAAGAACCCTCTGAGGTAGAACATCCCAAAGAGCTCTGAAACACCCTTCCAAACACTTTGGAAGATGTGGCCCAACACGATGTGAATTCAACGCCAATTCCACCCGACCGAAAGCCCTCCCCACATTTGTAAGATTTGAAGGCTGGCTCTGGATGGGGAACCACTCTTTTGACACTGTGAGGGAATATTCACGATCGGATGACGGGATCTATCTGCAAGATTTTGCTTTGAGGCTTAGGGTGCGGAGTGTGCCACTGCAAACACAAAAACAATCAAACACTAAAAACCTCCGAAGCCTCCAGGCATCCCAAGCTGTAACACATATGACACACCCGTAAATGAAGCCAGCTGCACAGGGCGAAAATGTTGCAGAGGCCACCTCACATGGTGCGGCTAATCGGGATGCAGCTCCTTGAACAAGCTCTCAAACATTCTCAAGCCCTGAGCAACCCACTTTCTAGCTTCTCTGGAAGATCTTCAGGGCTAAGGGGTGCAAGATGCCTAGGTTGGGAAGCAAGAAGGGGGGCTCAGTGTTGCTGAGCACCCCCACACCCTGCATCCCGAAGCTCCCACCGACACCCCACCCACATTACCCACTATCTGGCAGCCTTTGTTGGGAAGCCGCTAGGAAAGCATGTCTGAGGGAGAGGCCCCCTCGGGCAACAGGCTTTGGGTGTAGGAGCTCGTTCGCTTCAGCCGGCTCTGAACAATTCGGGTGTATTCTGAGGGAGGCGGGATGCGTGGTCTTAGCGTTATCGGGGTGTGGAGATTCAGGCTTCATAGTCACCCAATTCACATCCCTACATCCTCCTAACATCACTCTCAACGGCTTTTAACGGCTTTGCGCATCCGAAGTTGGAAGCAGTCTGAACCTCTAGGGGTCGGACTGTGGGGAAGGTTGGCCTCCTGTACCAGCACCAACGTCCCACAGGCAATCCTGCCGCAGTCAGAAGCTCTGTTGATCGCAGACCGGAAGACTTAAAATTCGTCGAAGCTTCAGCGCAAGAGTGGAGAAAGAGATTCCAAAGGGTTGGAGGTAAAAGGTTTACCGGGGGTAGACTATGCTAGACTTCTTGGATCCAAAGAGTCCGCGAGGCGGGGCTCTGTAGATGTACATAGTGAGCTGGCGAGATCGAAGAGCCCCGCGGGTGCGGGCCTTCCTACCTGCAAAGTGTAGCTTCGGCTTTGATAGATTTGGGGGCATTCCCCCAAAGGTGACCTAACCGTCCCCCAAGCCCTAAGACCACCCCCAAGCACTTGCCGCCAAGCTCAATTCACCCAGAAACCTCTGAAAGCACAGAGCAAGGTCCGAGGCCCGAGCAACCGACAGGCAAAAGTCTCCAAGGTCTTTTTTAAAGTTCAACCCGAAGTTCACCCTAAGCAAGGCTTTCTGTCTGGGGAGTCCAAGGTTTGCGGGTGGCGGATGTGAGTTTCTAGGACAACTAAAATAAAAAATGTTGACGACACTCCGAATACGCTCCATGTGTACAGGGAGCAGGACTCCTCGCAGTCCTCACAGCTGGCCTCACACAAAACTCAATCCTCAGCCCCAAGGCCTCTCCGCGTGCGAGGCAAAGTATTGGGCCGGTAGTCTGGACAAATGCCTCGGGCGCTTGCGAGGTTCGTTGTGGCAATGGCATTTTGGGCTTCAAGCTGTTGCCTTCTTACGGCTGAGGGGCTCCAGTTGCAGATTAGGTTCAAGACATGAGGCTTTCTGGGTTTGGGGTGTTGGAACACGCTAGTCACTAGAATCACTAGAACCAGGAAGACATCTCAGCTGCACGGATATGCACGAAGTAGCGCGCTCCCTCTATGTTTTGAACATTTTTGAACTCTTTCGCAGCCATCTGCGTCACTGCGAGGCATACATGGCATGCCTCACCCATAGCGGATGTACACAGCAGCTCCGTCATGGTGGCCTTAGCTGCATACGGGATATGGTAAGGCTGTGGAGAGTCCAGGGAGCTCAAACGAAGCTCAAAAAGGTTCCAACATCAAACCCAAAGTAACGGACGTTGTAGGCATGCCTGTTGCTCTTGAAGTTGTTCTCACCATAGAGCACGGCGTTACTATCATCATTCCTCACGGCAGTGCCATGGTCGGTGTCGCTGATCCACGGGTCTTCGTTGTGACCACGTCGCCTATACATTCGGGCCTTGTGGGGGCCCGCGTTTTGCCACGAGCTCTTGATGTCCCGCTCTCCGTTGTTGTATGTGCCATACACTTGGTCCTTTGCCATCACCATCCATTTCTTCAGGTCACCCGTGGCAAACATGAAGTCTACAAAATCATCACTTTCGAACTCTGTAAGCTGATCCGTGTCCTGAGCTTGGAAGCAGTTCACCCCCAAACGCAAGAGCCCAGAAACAGCCCGACCGTCTACTGGACTGGCATACATGTCATCACCACTGCTTCTATGGATAACCCAAAAGAAGAAAACGATGCCACGATCACGCGAGTGTCCGGGAACCACACATCGCCAGTGGACACCGACCGTACAAGGCACCAACCACCACCGCCGATGCTCTGGACGTCGCCGCCACCCATCTTGCCCTTGGCCTCTGAGGAACTCAGGTCGGTTTACATGTCTAGACATGTTTAGACATGTTAAGGGGTTTGGCTAAATTTGAGTATCGTGACGCAGCAGCGCTGTGTTGCGACATGCGCACGCTCTATGAACACTCCTACGCCTATCGACGGTCTGCAGTAGTTCTTGTTCGTACGTGTTGGGGGTTTTAGGCAAGTGACTGACCCATTGACTGACCAATCCTGGCCTGACCGACTGACACGAGGTAAGAAAACACAACAGAAGAAGGCCGACAACTCTAGGAAAAGCCACCCCACCCACCCACCCCCATCGAGGTTGAGGTTCGCATTGGCGCTGCTTGCAGTACTTGCCGCCTTTGCCAAGGGCAAGGCACTGGTCATTGTCAGCGACGCCGCATTGAACGTTGCGCCCTGGAGTCCACAAAACTGAGGCTAACATGCCAATGGGGTGTACGGGTGTGCTGTTACTGTTTGGGTTTTGGCACCAATGCAAGTTGTGCAGTCCTGCTGACATAGGCCTGTAATAGTTCTTGCACTCATCCAGTGAGAGCTCGTCACAGCGCTTGCCTTTCAAGGGGGCGCCCACGCCTCCACAGAACAGATGCATTCAAATCTGCAACCTGCAGCCTCAAGGCGACTGCAAAACTTCTTCTACTCGAGGCTTGCCGAACTAACAACTCTTCCCATCGCGCATTCCAAGTCGCAGAAGGCAGATTCACTGTCCGCGACTGTCTTCAAAGCCGCAGATCCAGCAAGACCCAGCAAGCACAGGAGGCCATGCTTCATTGCCGCCCTGTAGCCTGTTGATTCGTTGAAATCACCGGCCACGTGGCTGCAGGACTCACCATGCTGACAATGCTGACACATCAGGGTCTTCAAAAACACCTTTCGCTTCAGCTTGGTCTTCAACCCTCTCGGTTGAGGTCTGGCAATTTCTCTCAGCCCTCTTCGGGTCCAGGCTCTGCCACTTTCACAGATTCAAGGGGGTAAGACACGTTGGACAGAAAGCGGAAAGCGACAATCTCGGGACATTGAGAAGGGCACTGGAGTGTTTGAACTATGCCTGACAGTGGCATGCGTTGCAGTTTCCAAAAGTCTCCCGTGCATGAGCACCGGGATCGACAGGTGGGCGTTTGAGAATGGAGTTTCACCGGCGGATGGCCCATGCAAAAACCCATGTGCGCCTGCTAGAAGCCGTAGCTGAGGTCAACAAATCAAACTACGTACCATGTATCGGCCAGCTGCGAATTCCTCAAGATACTACAGTAGTTTCTTGAACCATGTGTTCGCCCCTCCTCGACTCCTCGACTAGTCTTCGACATAACCCCCGGGGACCCGAAAGCGCGAAGGCCTGAATGAAGCCTGAACTGGAAGCCGCGAAGGACGAATAAGGACGAACCCTGAAGAGGCCTCGGAAGATAAAGGCGAGCGGCTGAGTCAGAAGAAGCAGCGTCGGCACGAGCTCGCTGTTGCCAATGAGGCGAATACAAAGCCTGGCACCGCAGCGACTGTGGACCCCACATCTTGAGTCCCGCCATGCGCTGGCCCATCCTATACTCTTGGCGAAGCGCCACGACACGGATTGCAGTGGACATGTCTCCCACCTCCTCCTTAACTTCGGAGAAAATGCTTACTGATTCCGCCTATGGGCTGCCAATAAAGTTTCCGCAGGGCTTAGGACTTAGGACAGCTTAGGAAATTTTAGAATGTAGAACGTTTGGAACAACTGCTTCACTTACTTGAGTCTGCACTTCAATGCACCACCTTCGGGTCGTAGTGGCGCAAAGCACAGACGGCACAAACGGCATGTGCCCAGGAGATTGAAGACCACAGCTCAGGTGCACGCAACAACAATCCGCAACAGTCGGTGACTATGCTCTGGGGTTCTGAGTGCTTTCCTTTCTCAGACGCATCGCGAGACTTTCGCGGACACGTTGCTTTACATCTTAAGACCCGTCTAAATAAATCCAGAGGCACGGACCTTGACATTTTCCCTCAGACGTGTTTCCTACAACGCGGAAGCAGCTCCAAACATAAACAATCATGAATGCGATAGACTCAGGCATTCATCCCTGGCTGCAGCAGCGTGCAGCAGCATGTTGCAGATTCCAACATATCATATCTATTGATGCTAGCATCGCGCGGATCAAAGAATTCGACGTCAGTCACACAGAACGAACGGCAAAGCGCCTTTTGAACGGATCCTTAAAGTCCGGTTCAAGCCCTCTGCATCCCAAGTATACTTCTGTCTGTCGTTAGCATGGAAAAGATGCTCCTCAAACACTGCTACACCCAAGCCCAACAATGCTGGCGTACTAGAGTCTAACCCTTGAGCCCAGCCAACAGCCCGCCCTACATTACCCTCGACACAACCCCTCGCTGGGCACTGGTACTCCAACCATTTGGTTTAGGATCTTCGATTTGAAGCTTCGCCCAAGCCTCGCCCTGCCCTCGCCCTGCACCAAGAGTGCCAGCAAGGCCGAAGAGTGTTCACGATGAGACGCTCAATGAACTGCATCTCCGTGAGGCCATTGCCCGCGATGACATACTGCCGGGTTGCGTGGCTTTAGGGCTTTTGGGGGATTTAGGGGGCTTCGCTTCGCTGAAGTTTCAGGCCCTTTGCGAGGGTTGAAAATCCTGGGGATCATCGACAGAAAGTACAGCGCGTCTTGGGGCGTGGGGAGCAAGGAGCCAGAATCCGCTTGTGCCTGTTCGCTTCGGCGTTTCGGGAACGCTGCGTGCTACAGTCAGCCGAACCCCCGCCTGGAGGAGCTTCTCGAAGTGAGTGCTCACCAGAGGCCATATGTGCGACCTCAGAATCGGGGGCGCGTCTGGCACTTTCCACCGGGTCGAGCAGCTTTTTGCCCTGAAAGGCGTACGCCCTGCATGAACAGCAATCATAAAACGCCCCCCAAGACGACAGAGCCAAGAACACCCTAGAACGCTTACAGGCTAAACGTGTCCTTGCCATCTTGCTGCCGGTGGTTTCGGACACCGTGGAAGCTAGCAGATATCTATAATTTAAGTTTGGCATTCCGAGCATGTGCATCCAAGCCCGAATCCTATCGCCGTCGTCGCAATCCGTTTACCAGAAGCTGTCCCAAACCTGAAACGCGTGACCCATCATCACCCGAAGCCCCAAAGTCACCAACCCAGGCCCTGAACCCTCAACTTTCACATCTCCAAGCGTCACTTAAAGCCTAAAATTACGACTGCGCATCCTGCCACAGTGCCGCCCACGGCGCCGCCCACAGCTAAACCTGATTGAAGGACCATCCTGAACCCTAGATCCTGATTCCCCCTTCCCGCAGCTCGGGCACCGGGCAGGCAATGGCTGGCGGGCAGCGGCATACAGGTGAGGTTGGTCAGCAGCTCCAGGCCTCGGGGCTGCTCCCAGGGCTGCTCCGGAGTTGGGGGGGGGGGGTTTTCTCCTGGACGGCTTGGCGTGGTTCCGATTGCTTGTTCTGGATGAGGCTTCAGCGGCTTCAGGGCTCTGGTCTTCAGTGATGTAGGAGATTTGCCAGCATTCGTTGGCCTTTGGGGGAAAGGCGTGGGGCTCTTCACTCATTCAGAAGCTCTTGCGCTAGGGCGAGAGATGCGATGAGTTTGGTGTCAGACTGCGAACTGTCAGGACGCCTAGGTTTCATGTGTTCAGAGCTTATGGATGTAGGTGATCTAGGGATTCCACTCCTTCAAAACCTGAAAGACAAGCGTGGGAAGTAAGCACCCCGAAGGACCTTCATTCATTCAAGCTGAAAGCATTTTTAAGGAGCTAACAGCTAACGACCACATGGGGCCTTTTGCACTTGATCTCTTCACCATTGACCCCTTGTTTAACCGGCTCGTGGGATCACTCTTCACAGGTCCTAGACCAACAGCGTGATGAACGAAGCAAACGAAGTGAACTAGCGAACCCAAAGAATCCCATGGAAACTGCCACACGTTCGGTTCATTATAGGAGCTCTGCTGTTAGTCCGGGGGCGAGGTCAACAAGTACAACATAATGACGTGGAACGACCGCCGGAACAAAGACTTTGATCATGAAATGGACCGTTGAGTCGTGAAGTCACAGCCAGGAATGAGGGTAAAGAGCCCTGAAATTTGCTGTAGTTGAGGGAGTAGCCAAAGGTTCGAGCGGCATTTCACTGGTCGTGCGATGAAACTGAGCTATAGTTGTCAAGTACTGCATGAGAGATGTTTTTCCAGTCATAGAGGGCGAGTCCTTTGGACCAGGGCTTGGTTCAAGCGTGCTGTCGCGGGCTTTTGCCAATCTGCTCAGCCGCGTACAGAAGACGGGATCTGCCACATCATGCCAGCTTGCTCCACCCACCTGACCATTCCAACGAGAGGCTGGTTGTTGTTTACATCCTTTCTCTGGGCTCCTCAAACCCTCAACTCGAAGCATGGCAACACACGAAGCAGGCCTCGTCCAAGGGCTCCGCCGTGGTTGGACTTTGCCCCTGCCACTGGTAGCAAAATAGGGCTTTAACCTGTAGGGTTCACCGGGATGGGCGATAGGCGTAGGGCTAAGCATCAGAAGCGGCTACAGCAACAAGCAGTTTGCATTGGCTTCAGAACGACCCGCTTGAGAAGGCTGGCACTCTACACAGTTTGAACATTCCTGAACTGCCTACGACGTGACGTGTGCAATGTGAGTGTTTGGCATCCTGCGCGAACCATCGCGACGGCTTGGAAAGCTGCACCAGCGCCTGCCAGTCGCAGCAAGAGGTTTCAGGTCTTAGGGAGTTCACGTAGTTTAGGGAGTTTAGGCAGTTAAGGACTGATGCTTGTTGGAAAGCAGCGCTCTGCAACTTGGGGGACTTACGTACCTCCATTCCCAGTCGAAAGGCTTTGGCATGCATCCAACACTGCCGGTCGCAAACCTGAAGATTCCTTCCTTGGGTCCGCCAGCCCTGAAATGCCTGAAGTCAGTCGGGGTAATGAGGAGTGGTCCTGCTATCTTACTGATTCAGAACGGCACGGCTCGTAATTGTTGCTTCCAAAGCTCTATTTGTGAGAGAACTGGGGTATGAGGAAAAGTAAAGATTCTGGGACACGATGGCCTGTGGCGATCGGAAGATCGAGGCTTCGGTTTCCGAAGTAGGGACTGGTAGCAAAAACTGGCATCCAACGCAGCCGTGCCTTAGCCAAGCACTGTAAGCTCTCCGGCGATACTTTCGCGATGCCCGTGGCGCTGAGGACCCTGGAGCAGAGGATTGCAGTTTGACTGGGCAGGCGGCAGCCGATCGCGGCGATCCTATTTGCTGGCCGTAGCAGCCGTAGCAAAGGCTAGGAGCATGCACTGCAAGGTGCACCTTTACACACACGAACGGGCACAGAGGACGGTACCCGAAGAATAAAACACCAATATAAAGCGAATAAGCTTAACCCCGAAGGGCACCGGGCCCCTGTGTTCTTGTGGCCCCTAAACCCCTAAACATCCCTAACCCCCAATCGAAAAGCCGACCACGTTGAGCAACCTGCAGAGCCAAATGACTGAGCTGATGGCTCGACGAAGCCGGAGCGAGCCACATAGGCCTTCACCTGCGCTGCTATTGCTACCCGGAAACACCTACAAGCTCTATATGCGCCCGCGTTGCGCGTAATCGACCCCCCCCCCCATGGTATCCCCCCCCCCCATCCCCCCCCAAACCCTGCCTGTTAACCCTAAAAACACCACGGACCATGGGGGAGGACAGAGAAACCTCAGCCTGAACCCCACACCCTGAACCCTAAGCCCTAAAACCTAAACCCACCAATGAACCACAGGAGGGAGAAGGGTAAAC